AACTCAGAATCAACTTGCTCCATCAGCAAACAAAGTCAACTAGCAAAACTACTAAAATTAGCTAAACTAATAATTTGGGACGAAATTTCAATGATGAAACGCCATTCTATAGAAGCCTTAGATAAAACCTTAAAAGACATTATGGAATGCAATGCTCCATTTGGCGGAAAAATCATTGTATTCGGGAGCGATTTTCGTCAAGCTTTACCTTTAATCTCACGAAGAAGCCACGCACAGATCATAAACGCCACACTAAAATCTTCACCATTATGGTCTAAAATCAAAATATTCCATCTTCATCAAAACATGAGGGCTGAAAATAATCATGAAACTAATGAATTTAAAGACTTTTTGTTAAGAATTGGAAATGGAACTGAAGAAACAATAAATACAGACCTAATTCGCATTCCAGATCAAATGGTAATTGACTGGCATAACGAACATTCTTTACAAACTCTTATCGAAAAAACATACCCATCCCTTATCACGAATCTGTTAGACCCCTTCTACTTCACCGACAGAGCCATACTCACTACTAAAAATGAATACGTAGAACAAGTTAACAATACAATACTAAATCAACTACCAGGAGAAGACATAATATATTGAAGCTATGACTCAGTTCCCAACGATAACCACAACCTATATCAACAAGAATTTCTCAACTCCATAACCACGACAGACATTCCTCCGCATGAATTATGCCTAAAAAACTACACACCTATCATATGCATAAGAAACATAGATCCTGCCAACAGTCTATGTAATGGCACCAGACTAATATGCCAAGCATTCAATTCAAACATCATAGAAGCTAAAATAACCACAGGCAGTAATCAAAAAAAAATATATTTCTTCCAAGAATATCATTTATTACTTCTAACAACATCAAGTTTCCTTTCACGTTAAAAAGAAAACAATTCCCGATAAAACCTTCCTTTGCCTTAATGATCAATAAATCTCAAGGCCAAACCATTCCGTACATAGGACTTTATTTACCTGAACACGTATTCACACATGGTCAACTCTATGTTGCATTTTCGAGAGCCTGATCTTACTACAACATCAAAGTATTAGTAAAAGATGGGAAAATTACCCAACAACAAGGCATTTACACATGAAATGTAGTATATAAAGAAATCCTACATAATTAAAATAACTTACAAAAAACAAATATTTCAAATACAAATACTCCCAATTCACTAAAAACTAAAAAATTCTTTAATGATTATATATAAACGAATACATAAATAAAATAACAAATAAACTTCTGAAACTGCAAATACAAACAACATAAAATAAATTAATAAATCAAAAATAACTAAATAAAATAAGGTTGATCTTTAGTATAGGTGGGCATATATAATTATTATACAATTATAACATATATAACTTAATTATTTTGAACTAATTTAAGTAATTTTATAAATTATTAGGGTCAGGGTTAAGGTTAGGTTTTAAATTGGCTCAAATTAGTTAGGTTTTATATATTATAATCTTGTAATAATTTATATATGCCTACCTATACTAAAGAAGATCCAATAATAAATAAAAAAAAAATTCAAAAAAAAAAAAATAAACTACTCCTTATAATTAACACTATCTGAATTAGAAGAACGCAACCTAGAACTACTACGTAAGACCCAATCAGCACATTCTTTACCTTTCTTACACGAACCCATATCTTCTCTTTCTCGACCAAAATCAGAAGAATCATCATTTTCACTAATATAAGACTCTCCATCAAAATCAGAATCTTCAACCCGTACCCGCTTTAATGAACGAGAACTATTCAAATAATTTCTATTCGCATGCCCACCCAACGTTACCGGAACTTTCGTTTCAAATTTTTCACCAGAATTCTCACCGAAATCATGACTAACCTCATTCTCAGTAATACTAAAACCTTCAACAGAATCATCAACATGATCAGAAGAAACTACCGAAGAACCAACATTATTTTCAAGCTTTGACTTCGATCTTTCAGCAATATTTTGATGAGTGACCAAAAGTTTAGACCGAATAGAATTCTTAGGTGACGAAGAAATCTGAGAGACACCATGATCAAAAATAACATTCTTTTTGTTATTAAACTGAGTATCAACGTAATTAATATCTCTAGCATAAACGTAAAAATCATTGTCAATAATTTCTAATTGCCCAACAACAAAAAAAAGAGATTCTTGAGGCCGAATATTACTTTTCAGATATGAAAACCGCGAATTATGACATGAAAAAACCACCTTCATTAAAAAATTAAATTCCTGCCCAGCATAATCAGTAACCAAAATACAAATAATAACATCATCATTAACTTCATTAGGCATTTCTTGAGGAATCCCAACCAAAGATACCTTCAGTGGACATTTGTTAGATGTAACAACTTTATTAAGAATCGTCACATGAGTAGAAGTCGAAACAGTCATCTAAAATTTAAATAAATAATTAATAATTATACAACATCATCAAACAAATAACAAGTACCTTTGCTCTTTTTTTCCCTTCATAAAACCCAGGTACAATTTTACCACCAACAGAAAAAAAATTATCTTTCACGAAAACTGCCTGTGTCTCAGGATCTCTATCATCCAAATCAACCGGCACGAATAAAGTCAACTCAATAAAGTAATCATCGCGCTCTACAGGATAAGTCCCAAGAGCCCACACAACCAACAAATTAGGATCTTTAGAACTAACGTTCTGCTTAACGTAACTAATCTTAACAATGGTATCTGCATAACACGGCATTGAACAAAAATCGAAATCAAAAAAACTACAAACTTCCAAAATTTCTAACAACACTTAAGCAATATATATATACATAAAATAAATCTAAAAAAAAACAAGTACAAGACCATCAATATTAAAATATCGCAATAAATTTGTCAACTATATATCATAATGATACAATAATGACCCCATCCAAAAAAAAAAAAAAAAAATCATTAGTACTCAAAATAAATTAACAAATAACAATTTATTAAAATGACAAAACAATAATCGAATTACAAATAAAAATCATAAACCAAAAATACACTAAGATAAAAAAAGCCAAACATAAACTTTAGATACTCATTTAACTTTATAAATCTTATCAAAGAAAATCTATACTAATAATAGATTACCCGCAAACAACATCCAAAAAGCCAACTAAATATTAAAAACCCAATAACAAACAACCAAATATTCCTCACTCGATAACACAAAATAAAATAATCTACACTAAACCAAAAATAAAATCAATGAATATATAAATTAAATAAATTCAACAACAAATATAACAAATTTTTCGTATAAAAATTAATAAAAATAACGCAAACTCGAAATCACAGACTAAAACAAATATAAACGAAAATAACTACAAAAATCAAGAATAACTATATAATACCGTAACTAAAATTAGAATCCAACTAAAGATGAAACTTCAGTTACCTAAAAATTCACCTAACTAAAACTAACCCGAAAATTAAATCATCCAACAAACATCAATTACCTAATTAAACCAAATTCCAACTTCAGTAAACTAAAGTACCAACCTTAGCCAAATGCCAACAACAATCACGACATCCATAAAAACAAAACAAATTCAAAGACAGATGTACCTCAACACAATCAAAGAAATTCAGAACAAACATTCAAATTTTAAAAAATTGTCAAAATTCCACTATAACCTAAAATTAAATATAAGAAACTACTCTTTAAGTTCAAAAAAAAAAAAAAAAATCCTTGCTAAATTTTACTATAAAACTCCTTTTCACCTGCACATTATTTCACCTCACCCTAACCCTAACAACAAAAAAAAAAACTATAATTACACTAAAGTAACCTATAAATACAAAAATATTAATCCTACAGTAAATATCAAATAAAACTAAATAAACAACATACAAAACAATCAAAAAAATTCTAATAATACTTAAATAACAACATACAAAAAAAAACACACATAAATCAATCCTTACATAAAAAAAAAAAAAAAAAAAAACTAACAAAAAAAAAATAACAAAATAACAAAACTTAATTTAAACAATAATATGTGATAAAACCAACACCTAAACATAAAAATAATAAAATATAAAACTTACAAAACATTATAAAAAACATATATTTACAATAACAAATCCACTAAAAAATACAAATAAGATGGGTGGCGCGCAAGCGCCACCCATCGCACTAGTATAATTTATGTAAAACCTTACTAAGAGTAGAACAAACCAAAAGAAAAGAATAGAAATAAAATAGAATAACATAAAT